ATATAAGATTCCTCCTCCTCCTTCCAACTGTTATCACAACACTAATTATACTCATACATAAATAGAATTAATGAATATATTTACACTAACTATATTCAGAAATATCATAAATAAAAAAAAGACATAATTATAGTGGAGTTGGCCTCCGTTAAAAATTCCTGATGACTCACCGTTTATTGATTTTACCTGTAGAAGATCCCCTCCATTTTTTTTTGACATACCGTATGAAGAGGGAGAGGAGGCCGACCGTGAGTGTAAAGACTGATTTAAGGCCCATGGTAAAAAAATCGATTGCCAAACCCACAATGCAATGAGATGTATGTTCTAGTTTTTGGATAGCAACCGCTGAGGAAACCCAGTAGTCTGAAACTTGCTGTGCTGTGTGTTCAAGGAAGCGAGAGGAGGCTGATGAGAGAGAAACCCCCGGACTGAAACATCCCCAAGTCAGCGCCAATCCCTCCACCACACACCACACACCACACACACACAACACACATCACACACACACACACACACACAGCCCGTCCCTCTCTAAAGATCTCTGATGTCCTGAGAAAGACCTTACTCAGCTGTTCTCAACTTTGTTGGCTCAGGACGCTCTTTCCAAAAAGTAAAGCTGCTCTTTCTGGAGGCCATTGATAGCTGCAGTGATCTCTCAGAACCGTCCACAGTTCATGAGTGAGTTAGGGTTCCTGAGCTGCAGGTAGAGAACAGCTGTCCTAAATTGACTTTCAACATACAGAATACATACTGTCAAATGCATCTCATTTTACACCAGCTTTTGGTTTGCTTCAGCTATTTTTTTGTTGTGATCTTTTGTTTTGGCCTCTAGACAAAAATCCCAGTAGATATTTTCCTCTTTTCACCATTTTCTTAACAAGATCTTGAACCTGTAATTTCACCAGTAAAGTCTGAGTATTGCATGTTACTAAAACCTGAACCTTTAACCTTACGCAACACATAGATCCAGTAGCCCTTAAAGCTGCAGTAGGTAACTTTTTACAAAAATAACTTTGCCTTATTTGCCTGACAGTGTTGGAAGATAATCTGTGAAAAGTCAGGTTGCCCCCGGCTCCTCCTAGTGCTCATAACAGCTTTTGCTAGAATCCCCCATACCAAAAAGAAAACAACCAATCACAGCCATAAGGAGTCTTTAACCCACTGCCAGTCACTACTTGTGCACAAGCTGTGCAGCCCCCTCCCCCTCACATGCTTTCCTGTTAGGAAGACTCTTGTTAACACAGAAACAACCACCAGCAATGAAAACGGCCTATCCCTCCTTTTGCAGACAACGGCATGTAATACAAAACGTGTGTTTACGTCCTGGCTCCAAACGGGACTTCAGGCTCATTGTCACTTGTGAGTGCCGTGGCGTCACACACAGAGATATGATGACAAACAGTGGGGAATGAACTTGGAGTGGTGTAACGTTAGCTACTAGCCGTGCGGCTTTCGCTGGCACAAAGCATTTCCTTTTTCGTGTTATTAGAGGTCTGTGTAACAAATCTCCGCTGTATATTTGTCCCCACGGCCGAGGCAGAGTGTTGCTGAGGCAGTAGAAAAGGATGTCCCAAGACTGGGGCGCACTGCTCTGGGGCTGTGGGAGCGCTGAGGGACCCGGAGTGGCTCAGGTTCACAAATGAAGTTTCACAGGGCATTTGACTCGGTGTTTGGTGGGAGGGCGTTAGCTGAATGATACGAGCAGCAGAGAGGCACAGAAAGTTTGTGTTCAAGTTACCCACTGCAGCTTTAAACAGAGGATGGGGACACCAGTGAAATGTTAACACAAATTATTTATTTTTATCGCAGATATTAATATTTTGGTCTTCAAAGTCATTATTTGTGGAGGAAACTGGCTTGATAAACCTATAATAAAAGATGGGTAGTTTGATGAAAGCACACACAATAAAGTGCAAACCTGCAGAGGTGTATTGTAATTCTACTGAGACAAACAAATAACAGGTCCTCCCCTGTAGGCTCTGTTTATTCACCGATATTTTCTGCTTCACTACCTTCCTGATGGAGGTAATGTAGCTGAAAAACTCTGAATAAACGGGCTGTTCAAGAAGAGAAGTTGTGCAAGCTCAAAAGGATTGCAAGCAACAATAAGAAATGAAAATCTCTTACTACATAATGTATAGTGTAGCTTTGCAGTGTGTTGCTACACTGGTGTTTACAGGTTGTTGTAGCTGCAGTGTTTGTGTATGTAATGAGATTTCCACAGTGCACATACACTGGTTTGGGGCTTTTGTCAAGTGTTACTTGACTGAGTTTGAGGCTCTTTTATTTTTTAACCCGACTGGAGCAGCTTGTAAGTTTGACACCACACGATATAAACAAGCATGACCTTTGCTTCTTTGCTAAACAAAAAACGTCTTTGACATTCTGTATTCTGCTAGTTTTGCTTTTATTTTTAAATTTTTTTTTTCCTTATTCATTAATGTTTCTTCATCTCCGGTCACTTTGGCATCTTTTGTCAGCTACTCTTTAAATTTTTCCTCACTAGGTTTAAGTGGTGACAGTAGAAAAATAACCCTATCCTGGTAGGTACAGCTTGTGAATTGTCAGCTTACTACCATCACACCCACCCGCCACCCCCTCCCGCCCTCTCAGTTTTGGTTTTTGCTTTCCTTTTCCTCCTGTTTTCCATCCTCCATCCATCTCTCTGCACCCCCCACCCCACACATGAGCACCCTCATCCTCTGCCGCCGTGCTGCACTCTCCCGAGTTACTAACCCACTGGTTTGTTGTTGGTTTTTTGAAGTTTAACCCATAGTGAGTTCTGCATTTGCACCTGTATTATTTCTGTATGTCGAAGCCAGTCCAGCCCTCCCTTTTCTTTTTTTCGCCACCATGTTATCTTGTCCCGTCTACAAACGCAGGCTAGTTTTGAGTTTTATCAGGATGAGGATTTGTCTGCCATAAATACTGTGCTTCCTTTATGGATGTTTGTTTTTGATCCCCATTTAAACATCATTCGTCCATGGTTTTTTCCTCCTGTTCACATTAGTTCTGTTCAGCTGCCTTTCTATAGATCTGCTTTTAATGCTGGGATAATGGCCTCTGAGGGCTTTGTGTTTGAAATGAGGCCTAACCAATAGTTGGCAGATTACCAAAATACTAGAAATGCCAACAAAGTGTTTTATCTCCCTGAGGGGTGCCATCATTGACAGCAATAAGAGCCTGTTTTCTGTTTTTATTAGAAACTCAATTGCTTGCAGCAGATAAAAACAAAGAAAAAACCGTCAACACACAATACGTCTTTCAACAGACACTGCATCATAGTCTGTAAGAGTATGTTAAAATCTTGTCTTACACAGAGCACTATTTTTGCCCTCGAAACTAGTTCAGCTGCAGCCAAATGTATTGCACAATGGCTAAAATGACCTTACTCTGTTGAGTCAGTATGGCATCAGGCCACCGAGAGCAGCCCGAACAGCTGCAGTGAGCCATCACCTCCAGAAGTGTCTCTCTGCTGGAAGGACGCTCTACCCAAAGTATGATGGGCTTTTAATTAGCTTTCTGAGCACTTCTCATCCCTTATTTACTCAAGTGTTGCCTTTTGTTTTTGGCAGCTAATTGATTTGAGCACAATAGCCTTAGGTTTGGTTTGAAGTGTTTACATTTATTATCCTGTATCAGCAACTCCAAAATAAGCACCTTTGGCAGATGTCTGTTGCAAAGCTCTTTTCAAATATGCTAATACCTTATATCTTCCTCCTCAGTATATAATGAACAAAGGGCTCAAAAAGATCAGTGATTTTAATCGCATCTGCTCATTTCTATCCCAGCATTAAGTTTTCTTCAAACAAAAAGAAATACCAAAACATCTTAATCACTAGCCAATGGAGATTATCTAGCATGGTGTGTTCTAAGGTTCATATCTGTTTAATGTTCCTTAATCTGGTTTGTGCTTGTATTCTTAAACCCTCCCCTGATTGAGCTTATTACTAATATTAATATTGATGTACAGTATATCAGTCAGTCACAAAACATCACAGTACAGAAATGCCAAAAATATGTTTTTGATGAATTTTGACACTCAAGCTCATGTTATAAGATTCTTTAAAGCTCTCGAATATCAATGTCAGTATTGGCTGACTTAAAAGTCCCAACATTTTGAGGGCATTGAAGTACTGGTCTCAAATCATTCAGCAAGAAAAGTCTACAGCTCCTCTTCATCGAGATAGGTCACGTCTGAAGCGTTGATTTGACTGGCTAAAGGAATAGTCGAATAATCTGAGTAATAAGTTTGGGAAATTGGCTTATTTGCTTCTCTCTCTGAGTTAATTAGAAAATTGATGGCACCCTTGTCTGTATGCTAAATTTAAAGCTGGAGTCTACAGCCAGTTAGCAGCACTTCGCATAAAGACTGGAAACTATTCAATTCAACCAGAATGTGGGGTTTTTACTGGTGGTTACGCGTAGCCTGGGTCCAGGCCTTCGTATCCTCCCCGTCCACCAAGCCGACTGATTCTGGTCTGGCAGCATGACATGAAACTGCAGTTGAGAAGGTGGTTATGCCATGGGGGACTAACTCCATTGTCAAACTAAATGCTGCTATAGAAGCTTTATTTTCTGTAGAAGGCATGTCTTTTCAATATCACCCAGTATTGTAGTTTACTTTTACTTCGCTTCGCTCTTAAAACTCCAACAAACCTGTATGTTGGCATGACTACGCATCATTGTCGACCTAAAATGACGTTCGATTCAGACGGATACATCGGTCTGAGAAAACAGTGGAGGCAATGTCAGACTGAAGATGGAAATAGTGTAACGAGTTGATACTGTCTGGTCTTTAAACAAGTTACAACTTAAGAGCTTTTGAAGTGCTGGTAAGCTGATTTTGTTTCCTTTGGACAGAGTCAGATGGCTAGCTGTTTCCAGTCTTTATGCTAAGCTAACTGTCTCCTGGCTCCAGCTTCAAACTCTACAGATATGATAGTGGTATCAATCATATCTAAGTGTCTGCTAGAAAGCGAATGCATTTCCCCAAATTATTCTACCTGGCCTCCATTGTGTTTATATTAAGATGTCCAGTTTAAATCCAACCCAGGACCTTGTCAGACTATCACCCCTTCCAGTATTGTTTCTTGATGAAAAAGAGGCTAAAAGTATTTAAAAAAAATACCTACAGATTCTTTGTACCACAATGGTAGTCATTGTCAGGGATCACTTCAGATGGTGACGATCCAATACCCTTTTTGTAATCATTGCATTCGTAAGGATGCTACTACGACAAACCACAGCTGTCATAGTGTGTCTGATCTGAATGTGTCATAGTCCCTGCGTTCATATCTGTCAATTATGTTGTTTGTGTTCGCAGTAGTCTGGAGATGATAAACTTTAAAGTTTCTAGCAGCTTGTTGAATGTTTTAGGTCTTGAAATGGCTTTGCTGTGTGTAGATGTGATTTTGGTATGCCAGGTGTGTGTGTGGGGTGGTGGTGGTTTTTGTCGTCTTAACAACCCTCCTCTCCACTCCTGTGATTTCTTACAGAAGGATGCAGCCCCCCCAGCTGAGTGCAAGCAGCAGTGAAGCCTGGCCCGGCTGCCTTGAGGATCATCTGCACTGTAACGGCTTCTCAAATTACAAAAAAAAAAGATTGAAAAAAAAAAAAATAGTTACTTACCGCCTTATAATGTTTTGTATTTTTCTTGGTAGAGAATTTGAAGACAAAAAGTTTCAAGATTTTTGTTACAAAAACTCATGGTAATATACTGGGAGCTGTGGCTCAATATACATAGTATTTTACTAGACCTGTTTCTTCCTTCTCTTCCTCCTTCTCTGTACAATAGATAGAATACAGGAAAAAAAAATCTCCCTCAAAAAGCATGAACTTGTTTCTTCACTGCTAAAACTAGTTTGGGTTCTTGTGAAGTCTTTTGTTGTATTTGCTCTTAGACAACAGCTGTGGTTTAGACTGCATCGCGGCAACGTCAATTTATAATCCCCACCCGTCCTTTTTCCCCTTCCTCCTCCTCCTCCCTACAAAAGTTCCAGGTTGGTCACTTCTGATTGTCCCAGGTGATTTTTTTTCTTACTCTTAGCGGGGCCTTTAGCACTTGTAAAAGCACTGTAGCATTTCCAGCTCTAGTGAGAGAGGAGAGATGGGTGATGTTCAGCCGGGTGTCTACTCCAGTTTATCTAATCTTGCTGAGCATGGGATCTGGAGTTGGTGTTTTTGGCCACTTCCTGCGCCACTTGTGCTCAACTACTTTCCACTCTTGATACATTCCAGTAAGCAGACTGGCTGGCACCGTCGGTGAACCTCTCTTCAACTGGACGGACTCCTCTAAATTGAACAAGTTAGTTTGTCACGTACTGGGTCGCTCCCGGGGCTTGGTATGGCCTGGTCGAGTCTCTTTAACATTCCAGAGGATTCTTTAGATGTGGAAGGGGATGGCAGGATGGCCAGTTCGGGACCACCCAGCCCCAATACCCCAGTGCTTCAGGCTCCTTGTAGGCTTGCAGTGGCGTGGCTGTCGTCTTTTCTATAGCACTTTGTATTAGCGTGTGGTGTACCAGTGGCGTCCTGTCATCGGTTAGCTGTCTGAGTATTCCTTCTGAGCAGCACTTTGTTTGACGCCCCTCTGCCTATACGGGCAGGAGGGCCGGTGCTGTAACCCCGCTCTGTGGAGAGTTCAACTCGTGCTATCTGGTTTTGATTCCCTTTCTCACCGGGGGAGGCACACTTGGTCTGTTCAGAGAGGCTTTGTAGGAACAGGGTTGGACAGATGTAGCACTGCGAATGACAAGAAGACCTGGTTTTGAAGCGTCTGTCGACACGTTTTCTCATCAGATTATGACCTTTACCTCGTGTCGTGAATCCGTGACTGGTCAGGTGACTCACACGGACCTCAGCTTAGCCCCTGAGGTCTCGTTCATTTTTATCACTGTGAAAGAAAGAGGGAAGTGTGATAAGGCCATTCTGTTTGGCCAATGACCCACCACTCTCCCTACCCCAGACCCCTTCCTTTGTTACCCAGAAGGCCACAGAGAAGCATGTCAGAGCAATACTTAAAGCCAGGAGGGGGACCGAGAAGAAACCGTAGCCTGCCTCCCTCCCTGTCCGTTCTTAATGCCTTTTTTAGTTGTGAAAACAGCCATGTGTTGGTTGTGCTGGGCAGCATCGGGCCCACTGTGGAGAGCCAGGGTACTTCTCATTGTGCAGGGAGTATTCAGATCATGTTCATTGGAAAAGGACGTGGAAGGGTTTCTGTAGGGTCCTTCTGAGCAGCTGTTGTCAAGGCAAAATGCTATGCTACAAAAATACTAATGTACTCAATAACTGTACGTGTATGTTCATGAATAAATTGGTTAAACATGTCTAACAATGTTGACTTGTTTGGTTTTTGATCACTAGGTGTGTCTGTGTTCAAACCTAAACTAGTCTTAATTACATTTGTAAACCCACAAATTATTTGAGTTTATTTATACTAACTAAACCTGGCCAATATAACCTTGTAGGAAAATCATCTTATGGACAACCACAGGCCAGTAGAGGGAGCCATTGCTGTGAGTGTAGTGTTTGACACTGCCTTGCCTCCATGGGGAATGTGGTTTGTAATGAAAAAATAAAAATGACCACATCAGATACCACACTAATGCCAAGAGGACCGTTAGACTTAATCCCAGAGAGGGCAGTATAGGTGATACAAATTAAAATTCACATAGCAGACTAATAGTTGAGATTATCCTAAAGCCCAAGTGTGAAAAGACTTAATTGGGTTGCCTGATTGAAGTTCACCATGAGCTTCAGTTAGGCTGTTCATATATACAGGAGGAGACCAAAATGAGATGCAACATAACCCGTGGTGGACGTGTTCTGATCCTTTATCTTAGTGAAAAATACTCTATTACACGTACAAGACCTGCATTCCAAATTTCACAAATAGAAATGGATATTTACATCAAAGTGTTCTATGCAGTATATCAAATGATTGAATGGAATTTCGACAGGTTAGCAGCACGTCGTTGCAGGTGGTTTAGAGCAGTTAAACTACTTGTAATGTTACGTAACGTTTTGTATCTAAAATCATTGCCTGCAAAGGAGCAACTACAGCTGTGAGATAACTGCTGCAGTAGAAAGTACAGCATTTGTTCCAGCCTTCGTCCCAGGTGAGGACAAGAATTGTAATCGGTTCAAACAAGGAGTGATTTGATTTTGTTAAAAAAATTCCTTTGATCAATTTGGGACACTTCAGATTTATCTTGACAGCCCCTACTAGGGGTCTCGGCCCCCAGACTGGGAACCGCCTGTCTATAATGTAGTTAAGTACCTCAAATGTACTTGGTTAACACCACAAACTGCTTTAAACATAACTAACTTAATGAACCTCTGATATTCTGAAGAAGTGAACACAACAGCTCAATATTTACATTATTATTTAGTAACAATAGGGAGATTGTAATGAATGACATTACTGTGTGTTTATTCCCTTTACAACTGAAATGTGAACAGCACAAACCAAAGTGCACCTTTTAAAATAAGTTTTCATTTAGAAACCAGCATTATTTACAAAGCCCTTATTTAAATCATCTGACTGTGTGTAACTATAAATGTATTTAAAATAAAGTGCAGTAAAGCATCTGTACTGCTTCTTTTTGCATATTGGATTATAGTCGACTAATACCATTACCACAATGTACCTTTAAAACACTAAATCCAAATTTCAAAATAAAGTGGCTGTCAACATTGAAAAATGTTATATTTTGAAGGCTGTTATTGTTGTCAGTGTCTCAGGAGGCTGGGTGCCATTGAGGGGGGCGGTGCACCTCTCCAGCAGACCCCTCCCGCCCCCCAAACCCCCCTCACACACACTGTGACCAGCAGCCAGACAGGCAGGCAGCCTCCTCACTACAAC